CACACACACACACACACACACACACACACACACACACACACACACACACACACACACACACACACACACACACACACACACACACACAGAGAACAAAGTATCTCAGGGATTTGTTTAACTCAAACAAATCGATAGCTCGCATGGTGGAAAGCATCAAACAGTAAATCCAACAAAGATGTAATCACCGCCCTTCCTTCCTGCTGCTCCAGTGACCATGGCCAATCTCCGTGTGTGACTTAATGGTCTTCAATAACTCGAATTAGCTGATTATGGCGGCCGTCAACAGTGACAGGATCGGAAAATTAGGTCTCAGCAATTTCAATAATAAAGCTTTAAAAATTAACACTATCACAATTGGATTACAGTGGTGCATGTAGGAGCCAGCAGAGAGCCCAAAATAGCCCTCCACAAATCCACCATGGAAAATCCACTATTATACAGGGAGAAGAATGAAGTTGCTGGAATGAGAAGGAGAAAGAAAAAAAAAAAAATTGGTACGGCTCTTAGTTCTGGGAGGAAAGAGGCGCAGTCGAAGAAAAGAGAACGCAAGGGCAACTGAGCGAAAATGAAGCACTCTCATACAACAATACAAATCTGAAGAGAGACCCACTTTTGGAAAAATCTTTCTCACACGTCAGAACTCTTTAATTTGCAAGAGGAAGAAGAAGAAGAAAAGTGGTTTAACTCGTCATGACTTCTTTAAGAGTTCTCAAAGAAGTTCAGGTCCCTTCATTTTATTTTCACTGGCCTTGAAAACGTCATGAAAACTACAGAGTAGGAGTTGAACAGAAGTTGACAAAGAGACAATATGTTCATAATCAGAGACATCTGTGTAAACATGTGAAGGTTAAGTCGTCACTCATTTGAAATGAATTGAAATCTGCAGCTTTGGAGTAGTAACGCTCTAGCTGGAAACATTAAAATACAAGACAGCGAGAGAAGTCCAGTTAAGTATACATGTATATACACATGGCACATATAGATAATACCTATGGGGAGCTAAAGAAAAAGGGTTAGAATTAGTGGGCTTTTGGTCAGACCAAAATAACAAAAACGAAACATTTAAAGATAGCATCTTGGTCTTTGGCAAATCAATCAAATTACAAATGACTACAAACCGTATTGGCTGGATATTAGTAATTGCCAAAATGATAACTTTTAAGGACTTATATGCAATTGCCAAACTTTTAAGGACAAGGGAAACACTGACATGATCTGAACAGAGTGGAAAATGCAGAGGGGAGCGTAGAAAATATTGACTTAAGAATCTGATAAAAGAACAACATTAAAGAGAGTAAAAAAAAAAAAAAAAAAAATCCCCAGCAATTACTGTCAGCCTGACTTGCTTTGAAACTTGAAACTACCTGATCTCCCCTCAGAGCCACAGAATTATAAATTATACAGCCCCCCCAAAAAAATTATAAAACACCTTTACAAATAAAAAGCCTTGTTTCGCCTGTCCTCTAATGAAAACGCTTCTCCTGTGTCTGCGCGCGTCTGTTCTTCGCGTCTTCTCGGGCCGCTGCCGCTGGGCCGCCAGTCTTGAAGGCCCGCATTATCATGTTGATTTGGTGGGTGAGCTGGTTGGCGCTGACAAACACATTTACTGCTCTGGAAACAACCGGAACAGAAAGACAAGGACACACGTGTCACTCACACGGGGAGAAAAAAAAGCCCGAAAAGCGTGGCAACAATATTAGGATTGATCCAGGGAACACTTTGATCTGGCTGGAATAGAGAATGTCAGGCTTCAGAGAACACAAGCCAGGATGGATCCACAGGAAGTGGGTCAAGGGAATTATTCAGCATTGGTGGATTTGATGGTAGCGGGCCTGTGATCAAACAACCACCATTTACATGGGTGACAGTGGGTGTGCGCGTGAGCGTCTATGCAAACAGGCAAGGCGTGCAGGCGTGGGTGGGTGTGTACGACTAGTGAATGCGTTGGTGGCTATGTGTGCGGACACGAATGAGAAAAGGTTGAAGATGTGATGTAGAAAAAAAAAAAGAAAAGGGGTAAAAAATACACTAGAAACAGTGTCTTACTTTCCATCTTTGAAGTAGGTTTTGAGAGTGTCACTGAAGCTCTTGGAGTATTTCACAAACTCTTTCTTCTGCTGTTCCACTACCTAACCAATAAATACAGACAGCCTTTCAGCTCCACTTATTTCACAGCAACTGTGTTTGTGCGCACAGGCACTTTTTTTTCCTTAAACTTACTAATGTATCCACTTACCCGTCTGTTCTGATGTTGGTATTTCCTTAAGACAGTATTAACAGTGTTTAGCAGCTCCTTGATGGCACTGGCAACATCTCTGCGGATGACATGCACAAGTGAGTGCATGTTAGAAAGAAAAAAATATATATATATATAGAGAAATCTTCAAATCTGTCTGTTTTTATCAGGCACTGATACCCTGAAACTACAGTCCTTTGATCCAGCTCGTTGTCTCCCCTTTCTTCCCCCGTTCTCACAAACACGCTCTCACCTTCAACTCTCTTTCTCTGTCTCTCTCTCTCCCTCTCCCCTCGCATGCACTTGAAATCTGCCGTTTCATAACTTTAATTTCTTAGCATTCCCTTTGAATTGATTTTATTTCTAAGCCCTCCGCTGGGTAAGTAACTTAAGCACTGACTCACTAAGAGTATTGAATTCCATCAAAATAATGGCAAAGTGGGCCAAGAAGATGAAACATCTCTCACTTTCTCTCTATAGCGTGCGTGCAGCGCGGCGGACAGGGACGTTAATAGTTTCGCCATCACTGCTGTGCACACTGCTCAACCTTTGAAAGGAATCTTACGGCTTAGAAACAAAGACATGCTCCGGTTGGCCAGTTGGAATAAAAGAAATGAGAGCTATGTAATGCCAGGCAGCGTCTTAGTGCATATAATGAAATATTAATTGGAGAACAGTTACTAAAAGCCAACACTTTCACTTTCAACCATCGAGATGTTGTAAGTCAAAAGGGCTTGCATTCTGCTACTTTAATCACTTAATCTGATCGACATTTTGCACGTAGTAGTGAACCTGATTTACGTCACACTGAAACACACGTGCACATTCACACACACAGCTGTCTTACTTGATGGTATGTAGCAAGCCCATTCGGTCATTGATCTCATCAGGCAGGGTGCTTAGGATATGTTTCAGAGCTCGGGCCCTCTCGTTCAGCTCCTGGAACTCTGGCTCTTTCCTGTCAATCATCAACTCTGAAAAACACCGAGAGGAAGAGAACAAAAGACAGAGCTCAAACTCCTCGCACGTCAGCAGTCGGCAGAACTCATGAAATTAATATTGGTGACGTGTTAAAAGCCTATGTCTACAGTGCAAGTGTGAAAAATGAACACAGCATCAGGAGTATGTGTACATGCGTGTGTGCGCACACGCACACGCACACACACACACACACACACACACACACAAGGGACAGTAACGTGTTGAGTTTGTTAAGTGAAAAGCCGGATTAAGGTAGAACTTGGGATGTGCCATGCAGGAGGTACATTTAAAATTCATCCACTGTGTGTGTGTGTGTGTGTGCGCGCGCGTGTGCACGTGTGTGTGTGTGAATTCAATACTACCATCAATCACTGTACACTCGGCACAAGGAATTCAATTACAGACAGAAACAAGGGAACAACTGAAAGCAGACAGAGGGGTTGATTTGTGTGGAAACAGCTCCCCCCAGTGGATATCTGTACTGCAGCAGCACAGGACTGGGCCATCACAGAAACCAAAGAAAAACCAAGTTGGTATTCCCACAGCTTTCATCTTTAAGTGCACATTCTGGT